CATTTCCAATGGGATTACAACTCACACAATACCCACAACTGTGGAAGCCCCTAGTTGCAAACCCCTAGTTTACAAAACACTTGTAAAAGAAAAAAAAGCCAAAGCAAATTATCTAATCTGTTAGCCAAAAGATGTTAGAACATACAACAAATTTGTTCCAGTACACAGCATGAAAATTTACTGTCAATGAAAAAAATTTACCTGCTCTAGGCATTGAATTGTAACAGGAAAGAAACATCATCACATTCAGTATTACAAGATACTGTGTGGGGTTTTTGGCAAATTTTTCCTACTGAAAAATGTCTGAAATGTCAGTATAAATATTAATGATAAATATATTCTAGTTCACACTGCTCACTAAGAGACAAAATAATGCAACTTTTGTCCTCCTTTTTGAACTTATTTATTTTGTTAAACCCTGTCTGGCTGTGTTTGGACTGTGATATCCTGCTATTATTCTTGCACTATGTCTCAATCACTGAAAACTCACTATGGCACCTGATCTTGGTTTGTGGCTTGACACCTTCTCTGCTGATGTTTCCACCTACCATCACCTCATTTTGGTAAGCAGCAGCAGTCCTGTCATACCCTTTTTCAGATTAATACAGATATTTTCCGATAGCTGTATGACTTTTGGAACAAAACTCCTAAGGGAGTCAGAAGACAACACCTTTCCATCCAGAGTGATTCTTTGTATTTTGCATCTTTTTAATACAGTAAAGTTTAACTTTAAAAATATAAAATATAGAATTGATGTACTGTCTCTCCAGTGCACTTTATTTTGTATTCTAAAGGAAAACACACCATTCTCTTGAGGAAACAATTGTGTTGAATTTCTCCCTTGATTTTAATGCCATTCTATGCACAAAAATAAGATAGCTGTAGAAGCTTCTGACTTGTTAACAAGGCCTGTTTATTTGGTATCTAAACAATGAATTCTGCTGCAGAAGTACCTCAGGGACTGTTTTTATTTGGGCCATGTAAGCACTAACTTATAGGCAAATTCAAGAGTAAGTCCTGTCCTTGACTAGTCCATCATCTATAAATAACAGGAGATGGAAGACCATGGAAAGACTAGAGCTGAAATGGCTTGTTCAAGATTATGAGAGATCTGGTGGTGGACAGAATCAGCACTGAAAATGTACCTGACTCTCTTAGGCCTTGTTTATAGAAATACCCACAGATCTGAGCTGCTCTAGATTAATATGGTTACATAGGGGATTATGCAAATAAAATAGGTAGTGCAAGGATGACAACTCAGTCCTTGTGGGTATTTCCAGTCTTTACTAAATGCTGCTCTCACAGCATCCTGGAGACTTCCCTTTCTTTTCCCAGGTGGAAGCCTAATCCCACAGTGTAGCAAGAATAAACAAAACGTTGAATGTTGAGGCTGAACCAAAGATCACAGATATTAAAGGCTCAATCTGTTAACTTCCTCAGGAAGGGCAACTGCAATCCGACTCACCGCCCTGCCGTCCTCCCGCCCGGGAAGAGCCTCCTGCTGCTGCCAAGCACAGCACAGCCAAACCACAGCCAGCGATGTTCTCTGCAAAACACACCCAGTTGCACCGGGCCTCTCACTGATGGGCAATTCGCTCTTCTATTGAACTGCACTCAAATGACATAGACAAACTCCCGAAGTTTAACTAGTTGTGAGGCTATTTAATGCTGTGACAGAATAAAACACCTCCAGCGCAATGGGTTGTTTCTGCGCACAGTCAAGAATGGTTCCCCACACTTAAAACTTGTGATTGATTGTAGGTTATTTATCTGATAATATTCCCTTGGCTGCCTTCAGAAATAGGTTTGTTTTGTTTTGTTTTGTTTTCCCTGTAGTTTCCAGTAGTTTCCCGGCGGGTGGTACTGTGCATGTGGGCACTTGGGGCATCTTGCCGTAGCACGGGCTCGCTCTAGTGCCCACAGTGTAAGTTGCAGTTGAAGCCTTCAAACCCGAGAAGCTAAACTGCATCGTAAAATTATAGACCGCCCTGTTCCCACTCTCTAAAGGAGTGAATGCAACACTCCTTTGAGTAAAAAAGGAGTGATTTGAGGCGAGAAATTATATTTTATTCTATTTTGGAAGTCTCCAAATAGCTGTTGCTCAGGAAACTATCACCTTTCTTTAGTGTAGATAGTAAAGCATTTACAGCCAAGAGGAGAACAGGGCAGCAAAACCATTTTTTCTTTCTATTAGCTCCAGAAATAATCCAAAGTTTACAAGAAAGGTTAATCATGAATTAAATTTCATCTGTACAGAGGGAATATGTAGATGATTTCCCCAAAAAATAATTCTGTTCATTCTTCACACAGTTCCCTCAGCAGCCTCTAGATTTAAGCATTGGCCCTATGAAGTGTCAGAACAATTACATTCTAACAACACTGTCTCACACAAAATCTGCAATACTATAATGATTAAGTGTGTACATTTGTACTTAACCCACTGTCTGGTTCAACTAAACACAATGCACTCTGCTACTCTTTGTGCCTCACTCCATTCTCCTTTGCTTCACCATGGGGTCACTCCCAGAGGCTGCAGCTCTTAATGACCTGCTCCAGCATGGGTCCCTCCCACAGCATGCGTTCCTTCAGGAACGGGCTGCTCCAGTCCCCCACAGGGTCACAAGTTCTGCCACCAAATCTGTTCCAGTGTGAACTTCCATGGGCTGCTTCACCATGATCTTCTCTACAGGTTCCAGGGAATCTGCTCCTGCAGCTGGACCACCTGCGTCACTCCTTAGTCACTGGCCTGGGTGTCCACAGGGCTGTTTCTCCCTCAGCTTCCCCACTCTTCCACAATTGCTGCAAAATGTGTTTTATATTTTCTTAGATGTATTCCCAGAGAGGCACCACCAGCACGCTTTCTGAGGGTCAGCGCCATGCCTGGTGGCAGGTCCTTTGGATCCAGTGGAAATGCCATGCTGGGCCTGGGAATGCCTGCAGGCCCCAGCTGCCTGCAGCCAGCACCGCCCTCCCACACAGGCAGCCAAAATCCACAGGGCAAAGAAAGGGCGGTGTATTGCATTTTCACTGCTAAATACAGCATTCCCAGGGTGTGTTTCATGGAAAGCAGTATTTCCATTGGGAAATAGTAAATAGAGGAAGAGAAAAATTGCACACCATGAACTGTAAGATTCTAGAAAAGAAGTAACTAGATTGACTTTAAATGGAGGCATGATGCCTTATGCCAGGGTAGCCTGGTCTCACAATCCAGCCCAGCAATGGCCTCGTTGGACATGCAGACAGGACAGGACAGCCCACTCCTTCCCACCTTTTACAGCAGCCAGCCTGGGAAAGCAGGGCCAAGCAGGGCTGATCCTGGGCCCTACTGCCTCTGTCCTGAGCCCCTCCTTGCCCTCTGCAACCCTTCCTCACCCTTCTCATTCCTTCCTCTCCCCTTGTTTTCTCCATCTCCTTCCTTCCCCTCTGTTCCATATCCCCTCCCCACCCATTCCTTTCACTTTCCTCTCCCTTCCTTGCCTTTATTCTTCCCTTTCCCATACCTGCCTTTCCACTCCCCATCCCTTCCTCTCCTCTTCCTCTTCTCATCCCATCATATGCTTTCCCTCCCCTAACACTTCCTCTTCTCTCCTTCTCCCATCCCTCTCCTCCATTCCCCATCCCTTCTTTCGCATGGAAAATCACGCTATGAAAAGCCAGTGCCCATAAAGGAGACAGAGAAGTTCTGCAACTTTATTCAAATAAAGGGATAGAGTTCACTGGGGCACACGCCCGTGGGGTTTTTTGTCTCGAGGTTTTGCAGGATGTAACCTCCTTTTTTCCTAAACTCCAGGTCGCATGTTGCCCTCTTCCTTTTCCCCATCAGCTGAGTTACTAGGAAGGTACAGCCTTCCCAAACCACCTACCACATAACCCCCCTTGAACCTGGCATTTTACCCCAAAGTTCAGAAACCCAAGCTTGTGTAGACCCGTGTCTATCTCAGACCAATTTCAAAGACGTTAACGCCCATACTTCCATGCATCAAATTGTTTGTAAAGACATTAGCACACACATCTTCCCTATCACTTTCCCCCGTCCATCCTCTCCCCTTCCTTTCCCCATCTCTTTATATTTCCTTTCCTTTCCTTTCCTTTCCTTTCCTTTCCTTTCCTTTCCTTTCCTTTCCTTTCCTTTCCTTTCCTTTCCTTTCCTTTCCTTTCCTTTCC